TACTCTTAAAAATAAGTAAATATTTAAGAGTTTGATACTATTGACTCAAGTGAATTGGTTAAATTATTGCTTTTAGGCATAATATATTTTTATTTTATATTTTTAGTCTGTTTTATTTACACATTTTATAGTAATATTGATTTGATGTGTACGCTTTGATATGTTCAGTTATCTTCAAATATTTTATATTTTAGTAATTTTTAGATAAAAAATAAGTAAATATTTAAGAGTTTGATACTATTGACTCAAGTGAATTGGTTAAATTATTGCTTTTAGGCATAATATATTTTTATTTTATATTTTTAGTCTGTTTTATTTACACATTTTATAGTAATATTGATTTGATGTGTACGCTTTGATATGTTCAGTTATCTTCAAATATTTTATATTTTAGTAATTTTTAGATAAAAATGATTGAGTTTTATGCTTAGGAAATGTAACCAAAATTCATTTAGGAAATGTATTGCATTTAATATTTTTTGTTGGATTTCATGGCATAGTTATATAAGGTGGTAATACTCTTTGTTCAGAATCTGTCAGATGTTAAAATATTCAGTATAGTCTGGTGTGGTGGCACATACCTATACTCCCAGCACGGTTGGAAGCTGAGGCAAGAGATTGCGATTTGGAGCTCAGCTTGGGTATCTTAGCAGTGTAATGAGATGCTATCTCAAAAGAAAAAGTAAAAAAAGATTGGGAGTGTAGATCAATGTGAAGGTTGTATGTTCAGTCCCCAGGACTGCAAACGTAATTTTTTTTTAGTATATGAGGAAAACAGACATTATGGTAAGAATTTATGAAATATGTAAAAACTTATGAATTTCAAAGAGTTGGAATAATTTTTAAAGTAATCTTTCATAAATGTCTAAAGTACCAGTACCACAAACAAAAAAAGAGCTCCTGGAATTGCTAGAAATACCTAGAACATAAAACTGATACTCTCATGTTCCTTAAATCTGAATTGTTTCTCTTTGTGCCAGCTAAATAGCTCTGATTTAGCTATTATTCTTTCCTAAGGATTCTTTTTTTAAATTATTTTATTATTAAATTGAGCATTTCAGAAAATTTGAGGCCAACCAAATGAGAATTAGTAATCTGATTTTGTTTTGCTTATTCCCCATTCCATTTCAGATGTTGACTATTTCTGTTATTGATTTTCTTTGTTAATGTCATCTTATTCAGTCATCTTATCTTTCATCTGTGAGTTAAGAATTGTTTCTTCATCCTAAAAGCAGTTTGCCTCTTTCCCTCTCCAATAACACAGCTTTAATTCACATCCTTATTTTTGCCTAGACAGACATCATCATACTAGACATCATCATACTAGGTGTGAAATGCATGTTCTCTAAACACACTTATATCCACACTTTGTGACCTTTAGGAATATGTACCACTGGATCTGATATTCTTTTCTGACTTCATTTCTCATCACTCCAACTGGGTCAACTCAATTCAAATTACTCAACATTTTCCGTATTTCCTGTTACTTTTATAGGTGTTAGTGCTTGATACAGATTGTCCTTTCCATAAGAATATAAAATGCCTGTGGGACAGGGATTTAGCTCAGTTGTTCTGCCACCTGCCATGCAAGTGCAAGGACCTGAGTTCAATCCCTGATACCAAAAAAACAAAACAAACAAACAAATAATATAAAAATGCCTTCCCTTTTTTCTGCCTAGCTGTAATAATTTTTCACAGATGTTTGTTGTTGCTTCTCTTATAATACCTTTGCTCCTTATAGCATCGTGTGTGTGTGTGTGTGTGTGTGTGTGTGTGTGTGTATGTGTGTGTTGTGGTATTTATATATTTGACAAGTGGTCTTCCATGAGTAACTGTGTTAGGTAATAAGTAAGAATGTCTTCCCAATTGAGAAAGTATCAGCCAAGCATGGTGGCTGGCGCACACCTATAATCCCAGCACTCGGGAGGCTGAGGCAGGAGAATCGCTGTGAATTCGAGACCAGCCTGTGCTACATGTGAGTTCCAAGTCAGTCTCAACTACATAGTGAGACACTGTCTCAAAAAACCAAAATAAATAAATAAATAAGGTATCATCAGCTAGACAGCACAGAGCTTGTACTGATTTTTTTTATCTATATGACTCTACTAATATTTGACCCCTTGAAGACAGGGACTGTTGACCTATTTTTTATTGTCTTTTTAAGGAGCTTAACTCTTAGAAAGGATAACCTTAGTCATTATTTAATTTGGTGGAGTCATTCTACAAATTCGTTTGGGGGGAGCTAGACTGAAAAAATGTAATAGGATCCATGTAAATAAATTTCATAGCAGAAAAGGGATTACTTGATATACAGTATTTTCTAGACTTGCCTCAAAGTTAACCATCATTCACATTATTTTGTTTCTCATACATGCTTTTAAAGGATGATTAAGAAGAAACTTGTGTGAATTGGCTCGTTAAGAGAGTTAGTGGGCAGGACCTGGGGATCTAGCACAGTGGTGGGGAGCTTGAGAGCTTGCCTTGAATGCTGAAGGTCCTGGGTTCTATCCTGAGCACCAAAAAGCAAAAAGGAAAGAAATAAAAAGGTGTTCTTGACCTTCAAGATAATTCATGATGGTCCTACCCAAGAGGCTGGAGGGGTTGTTTGTCATACCTACCACATGGTGCTGACACAAGTACGTAGGTATAGATACAAAAGAATTTACGTATAATCCTTTGGTTAATGGCTATAGCTACTGTTTAAACAATATATTTTATATAAAAAGGAATTAGTATAATCTCCGAAAAATCAATTTAAGGACTAATTTTAATGACATTGTGCCAGTCTTGAGATGCGATTTCAAAGCAGCCAACACTACTTCACTAGTATTTCAAACTGGAACCTTGAGGCTAGTTAGTATTACACTCAGGCCACACTCAGCACTTAACCTGTTCTTACTACCTTGTATTGTAATTATTTATGTATTTGTCTCCCACACTGGATTATGTGCTTCTTGTGGGCAGGGTCTATGTCTTTTTCACCTTTGTATCTTTCATGGCATCTAGCATAGTTCTTTACATGTAATAGTCACTCAGTGTTTGTTAAATAAAGCTATTAGTGTCATTAAAGCAAAGATAGTAATAAAAAAGAAAATTCATAATGTCTGTAGACTTTTTAAATTATTAGGATGAGGTGAGGATTGGGGCTTGATAAGGAAGTTGAAATTGATGAAAAATATATTGGCCAAATTGTTACTGGCCATTGTTTTGTATAATTAGTCAAAATTGTCAAACCTCAAACCTCTCAGTGTGTGTAGCGGGAAAGTTTGGCTGCTTTTATGAATAAATCTTTCCAAATGTGATCTACAATTTACGAGAAACATTTATGCAAGAAAAATTTATATCATGTAGGTTGATATGTTTTAAATAATAAGTGTATGTCCTAACCAACTAAGATTTTTCTTAGGAGCACATGGATGATGTATGCTCTTCTCAACTTCTCACTTCAGTGAGACGCATGGTTTTGACTCTTACCCAGCAAAATGATGAGAGCAAGGAGTTTGTAAAGTTCTTTCATAAACAACTTGGAAGTATATTACAGGTAAGAGTTTATACTGCATCCCTTATCAATATGTACTGTTTCAGGATTTGTATTTTTTTCCCCCATTTTTTGGCATTACACAGTTTATTCAAGTAGATAAATCCATTAAACATGCATTTAAGGGCCTGGGATTTAGCTCAGTGGTGCTGCTGCCTGCCTCACAAGCACAAGGTCCTGAGTTTGATCCCTGATACCAAAAACAAAACAAAACAAACAAGCAAATGGCATTCTTAAAGTTTTTAGATCATTCCTTATTTTTAAAAAAAGATGCTAGGACCTATCTCTCTTCATTTAATTTAATCATCTCTAAGTCCTAACTCTAATAAAACTATATTGGTTGTAGTTTCCTATGAAATGTTGTCTTGTGGGAAAGGGAACAGGAAAAAAATAACCCAAATATATCATGTACAGGTACAAATTCCCAATAAAGAATGTGATCATAATGTATACCTAAAATGTACCAATAAACAATGAATTTTTTTAAAAGTCTCATTTCCTATTTCCATGTTTAAACTGGTTTTAAATGTACTATTATCCTTTTGTCTATCCATTTGTTTTATAATGCTGCACTGAGTGGACTTTGCATCCTGTAATTTTCCATTTTGTTAAAAAGCACACACCTCTAGTCCCAGTACTCAGGAAGCTGAAAAGCTGAGGCAGGAGGATCACCATGAGTTTGAGGCCAGCCTAAACTACATAGCAAGATCCTATCTTCAAAATACCCCCCGAAAAAAAATCAAAGTATAAATGCAGTAATAGCCTCCAAATTGTGCTACCTTTAATAGCATCATTACATCATCATTACATAATTTATAAGGAATATAAAGCATCCATAGTATTGTACATTGTAGAAATCCTTTAAATAGATTCACTGGTAGTATTTGCTGATGGAAAACTGAAAAGTTATTCAAAAAGATATTCTTACAGAAATATCTGAAATATTACAAATGTTTTAAACTTTTAGATGAATGTATTTTTGTTAATTTAACTAGCTAGCTTATTCCTATAGGAAGAAATAAATTATTTTAGAATCTGCTTGAAAGAGAAATTATTTCTTTATAATTCAATTTTTAAAAAAATCAAGATCCGTACAGGCCTTATTTACTTTTGTTTACTATTATCATATTTGTAGGCAAATTTCCAAAGTATTACTTTGGAAATAAAATTTATTTTTAAGTGTAAGAAAATTTGACTGCTTTTTTTTTTCAGGTTTTTACCAAATGGGTGTCCCCAAGAGTTTCTTTCCAGGTCCTTGGTGACCTGAAAAAAGAATTGGACAAGGCACGCACAAAAGGGAGTAAGGACATGGGTTTATTTAAGGTGGAAAATGTGTACTCTACAGGAGGAGAGCCAGGCCAGTAAAGAAGGCTCGTGCCCACCTGGAGGACAAAGGGAAAGGGGCTTTAGTAGCCAGAAAGCCTGCATTGGCCCCTGCCTCATGTAACTCATGAGATGCCTCATGGCATCTCAAAAACTCGCTTGGCTTCATGCCAAATATAGATTGACATATCAAAAAACTTACTTGTCCTCTCACCAATTGTAAATGAAGGATCAGAAACAGTTTTTGGATTGTTCTTTCCTGTATGTAAATAAAGGATTGGGAATAATGTCTTCTGATTGGTCTTGCAAACTGTGCTAGATTCCAATAAAGGATTAGGAATAGCACTTTGCTAATTGGTCCTAGTGCTCAGGAGCCATAATCCTGGAGTCATTTTAGGTCCTGTGCTCTGCATATGTCTTCTTATTTTTTTGGAAACATCTTGATCAGTTAGCTGGATTTCTGTGACTTCTGACACATGTCAGTTGGTTGTCCAGTTTGCCCCAGCGTTAATCCCCTACCCCAACTCCATTCCTCATTTTTCTCAAGGGAATATTCGTGAAGAATAAAATTAAGATACTACCTATTCATTTTTTTTTCCTCAGCTATAAATTACTTCTTGTTGTTTACTGTTTTTTGGCTGAATCTGCTCTGGAACCACTGTCTGCCTTGTCATGATTTTCTTCTGTCTCAGAAAAATGACAACCAATGAGGCTGTTCTAAAGAGACTGGAAAGGAAAGAGGGGTATAGAGTCAGATCAAATTACTGATTCTCTTAAGCAGCAAGTTGCTCTTCTGAAGGAGAAAGCAATCTTGTAGACAACATTGAGAGAGGAGAAAAAACTTCGAGTTGAAAATGCTAAACCAGCGATTTAGTGCAGTGATGCAGTGTCTGCTTGCAAGCAGAAGGTCCTGAGTTCGATCTCCGAAAAATAAAATAAATAGATAAACTGAAGAAAGAAATCGAAGAACTAAAACGAGCTGATTCAGGCAGAAATTCAAAATGGAGTGAAGCAAATACCATGCCCATCTTGAACTCCACTAGAAGCTAATTCTGTGGTTGCTGAAAAAGTATACAGTCTACACCAGTAACTATACTTTCTTACCAAAGAACATATGAAAGGAGAGGGAGAAGAAAAAGTGAAAGAGAACGTGGAAAAAAGAAGGAAAAAAAGTGGCTATCCTCAGGAAGAAGTACTGACTCTAAGCCAATAGACATTTTCCCTCTAGATCATCTAAATACTTGTATCATTAATGCCAAAAAACATCCTGCTGCAAGTTCTTTGTGTGTAGAAGTAATGGGTATTGGATAAACAGCCCAAGAACAGTTGTCAGTAGCCTGGTGAAATAGATTCAGTTAGATTCTAGTCTCCTGCCCAGTATATGGTACAGGCCTGAGAAATCAAAAGAACTAAGAGGAAAGATGCCAGGACCAGTGCTGGTGCAATCAACAAACGCCCTGGCCAGTCCCAGGCACTGACTTTTTTTTTGTACCAGGGATTGAACTCAGGCCCTTGTGCTTACAGGTCAGGCATCAGGGTGGTGGAATCAGTAAGCTAAATCCCCAGCCTTCAGGGACTGACTTATTGGCAGTCATTTGGGGTAAAGGCAAGCTATGTGTAGTTTCTGTGGAAATTAATGTAAACAAGGCTCATAAAGGACAAGACAGCATTCCCGAATTAGGAACAGTACAGACAGAATATATGGTTGTAATTAGAACATTGTCCTAGTTAGAAGGTTTTAGTTGTGGAAGCAGAATTTGGGTGTGAATTACTCTGATCTCCATGCGCATAGGTTTGGGCCAGACTCACTTCTCAGAACAACCTGGTTGTGGGTTAACTCTTTACAGCCTTCTTGGGGTGTAATCAATATGAACAGGTGCAAAACTGGATGGTGGTTCTACTTTGTAACCTGATACCAGCAAAGATGAGGGGAATCCTGTCTCAAGCAGTGGTGATGTGTCCTAGTTCCTCAGAGAAGGTTGAAATCTTGGCTTCTCCTGGACACAAGAGTTATCCGGATGCGTTCCCTGGAGAGCCCGACAAGGAGCTGAGTTCTAAGAAAACGATTTGGGATCAGATCCAGCCTGACCTGCACAGCAGTGATGACTGTGTCTCCACATACAAAGGTGTTCCTTTGAGGTGAAAGGAAAGGGAATATGCAGGACTCAATGACCATGAGTGGAATTAAGATCAAAAGCTGCTGTTATGAAAATAAACACCAGTAAGAGTAAAAGGAATGCATTTTTTTCAGCTTTAATTGAGTTTATTGGTACATTTTAGGGATACAGTACAGTTACATTTATTGTTGGGATCTTGTACCTCTACATGACAAGTCTTGATTCTCATTTTTTCCCCTTGTCCCTGCCCTCCCTTCACCCCCTCCTCCCCTTCCCATCTACAAACACTTTATTTTCATCTTTTGTGTTTTGATTCTCATTTTTTCCCCTTGTCCCTGCCCTCCCTTCACCCCCTCCTCCCCTTCCCATCTACAAACACTTTATTTTCATCTTTTCATTATCTCACATTTTAGGAACGTATTTTTTACTTATACATTAAAAAAAAATTTTTTTTAAAGTTACTGTCTCTTTTCCTTCTGAATCCTATTGGATTTTTCCCCACAGGGTGCTCAGCATATATATGTACTGCTTTCCGTAACTGAACTAGATAATGTCTTTGGGTGGTGGGACACTAAGCATCATGGTTCTTTGCCTGTTTTCTGAATAGCATAGTACATATTTTTCAGGGAAAAAAAGTGGTTTGTAAAAGCTATGTGAAATATAGGAAACTTATTAAAATTTAATGATGCTGTTTTTCAACTTGAATAAAGTTTAGTTTTAAATTTATTCTGAAGAAAAAATTTAAATTAGAATGATTGGCTAATATAAAGGAGGAAACTAAACGTACTCTAAGGTATCAGTAGGATATGAAATATTTTGTATTTTTCTCTCAGCACACTTAAGTATTCTTACTGTTGTATATATCTATCCCATGTATGTACTCTCTAGAATCTTTTGGGGGATTAGGCCCAGGAATTGTATTTTTTTTGTGCCCAGGAATTACATTAAGTAGGAGCTAAATTTATGGATGACCATGTATTATTTCCCTCCCCTTGTGCATACTTTTGAAGCAGGACTAGCAAGATTTCTCCTTAGTAATACAGTAATATTCTTTTGTAATATTAACCTTTCCTTAATAATCTTAGCCATTAGTTTCAAGTTTTTCAATACTTAATATTTTTGTAGTTGAGTATTATAATTTAATCTTTAATCATCTGTTACTGTATCAACAATTGAAGTTTCTGTGACTTCAAAATCATTGTGTTTATCTTCGAATAGGATTCACTGACAAAATTTGCAGGCAGAAAACTGAAAGACTGTGGAGAAGACCTTCTTGTAGAGATATCTGAAGTGTTGTTTAATGAATTGGCTTTCTTTAAGCTCATGCAAGATTTGGATAATAATAGTATAACTGTTAAACAGAGATGCAAAAGGAAAATAGAAGCAACTGGAGTGATACAGTCTTATGCCAAAGAGGTAAATAGCATTCATTCTGTATGTAGGAATACTTACAGTTAGCCTGTAATACTTACAGTTAGCCTGTAATACTTACAGTTAGCCTGTAAATATAGTTCTTGATCATTATTAATAACTATAGTCCTCTTTGATCTCAGTAGTAGTTATTTTTAATGTCAGTTAATCAAATTATAAATCACTACATGTTCTGTAGTACTGAACGTTAAGAGTAACAGTAGTGGCTAATGACCAACAATGGAGGCAGGAATTGATGCTAAATGTACATTGTCACAGATCCATTTCACTTTGCTGTCACTTACTCAAGCCTTCAAAAAGGAGGACTGGAATCCACTCCTTCACCAAGTGTCTGCAATGAGTTGTTGCCAATCCCCATAGAATCTCCAAGAACATATATATCACCTTGAGTTGCTCCAGCCAACAGATATCTTTGTTTATTTGGTTAGGAGTTTAGTTTCACATCTCTGTAGTTTTTGCCTTTCTTCCTTGGAATGTAATCAAATTCAAGCTATCTACTTCATACTTTATATTCTTGACATAAGTTCATTTCAGTCATTGGTAAAAGCTTAAGGAAAATAAAACAGCATAATTATTGAAAAGCAGTCTCCTTACAAACTACTTTAGATCAGTAGTCTCATAAGGGCCCTAAAAGGGATGTAGTATGAGCTAAGACGTGAAAAACAGGAAAGTGAAGATAAAAGAGAACTTGTCATGTGAAAAAAAAATCTATGTGTAATGACTCTAAAACAGGATTGAGCAGTTGGAAAAAAAAGAGATGGATTCAGAAGCACATTAAGTGATGTGGTAATGTTACAGAGAAGTAATTCCCAACCTGTTAGATATGCCACGTTTGTGTCTCAGAACACCAGAGAATGAGGTCGAGGACAAAGGAAGTTAAGAGTGGGAAAAGTTTTATTAAGAGAAAGCTGAGAGGCATGAGGGGTCCTAAAGGTGGGTTGCCACTGAGGCTTTGTCTGGGGGTGTTTTATACATCATATCACAGGTTGCCTTGGGTTGGATTACAATCAACCTGCAGGACTACAAATACAGTTACTTAGTTCATACTGATTTTATAGAAAAATATGGTATGTACCAGGAGTTGATAGCATGAGGATGAGCAAAAGTATTTCTGGAAGGGTAGGAGCAAGAATCAGAGTGTTCTGGCTGTCTGTCTTCATGTTCATTACGTTTTTTCTGTGTGTTTGGCATATTGCTTAGGTTTATTGGCCCAACTTGTGCTAGTTACAGTACAGCTTTGAGTTGTTGTTTATCTGTGGGAGGCTTGCAGGCCTAGCCATTGTGTCTTCATCTTGGGGCCTAATTCTGTCAACTCAGACCAGGACAACAGGCCTGGTTTGCCTCAGTCTCTGTTCTGATTCTTATCTTGGGACAGGTCCCTTTGTAACTGCTTAGCAGTCCCTACCTAACTTAGCTGCCTACAATAGTAAGTATGTAGACAGTGAGGTCACAAAAATATGTAAAGCCAAGTTATGAGGCCTTAGAAACCATAGTAAAGATCTTCTTTCCTTTCCCCCTTTTTTCCCTTTTTCCTTTAAGCATGATGAAAACCCATAGGAAAGATTGAAATAGAGGAATGACATAATCTTTTTATGAGGCCTGACTGGTGATATAAGTAGAACTTGTCTGGTCACTTGATAACTCAAGGGAGAAGTCGGGGAGGGACAGGGGGATAGGAGAGGCACAGACAGAGAGACAGACGAGTCAAGAAAGGAATTTATTCTTGGTTTGGCAAGACCAGAAAGATAGCTAGGAAACAGTCTTCCCCATTGGAGCAGCTCTAGGTTTATACAGGGAGAGGACAAAAGCTGGAAACTGAGAGGTGCAATGCATAGAGTCAGGCTAGAGAATCCTGTAAGCAAAGAAACATACATATGCATGTTGCACTTCTGATTCTGCTGATCCCACCTGCCCCAGAGCTTGTAGAGCAGTTTCCTTCCCAGCATGAGGTAAATCAGGGAAGGAAAAATTAAGAGAACAAGTTAGAAGGTTGGACAAGGTGTGTCTTTCTTTAAATCTCCCAAATTTAAAAGCACTCCTGTTAGAATCTCATGTGCAATTTAAAAGAAATTGTCTGGTTAACATATTACACAGATACTGTAAAGATAGAAGCAGCAAGACCAGTTTTAAAAATTGAAATTGTCCAAGTTAAAAAAAAACTAATGTCTTTTAGATTGGTGTGCAGCAATGGATACATTTTAATAATCCAGACTGGCATTCTTATGGTTTGGATGTGGATAATGATACTAAACAAAGACTGATTCCTAATTCTCTGATTTGGGCATCAAGGTCAATAAACTTATTTACTGCGGCTCGGAATATTAATAAAGGATAGAGTTTGGTAGAAGGAAATGTAAACTTTTTGGTTTTGGCTTTTAAGTTTAAGATGCTTTTTATATATCCAACAAGTCGTCAAGTGGGCAGTGTTACTTTTTGTTTTGACAGTTTAAAAGATTTAAGGAGGAGTTGAATATTGCAGGGGCAGTGCATGGGCCTGTAATTCTAGCATCCCGGAAGCCTAAGGCGGGAGGATAGCAAGGTTAAGCCCAGCCTGGATGATTTAGCAATTTAGTGAGATCCTGCCTCAAAAATCAATTAAAAAGAGGTATGAGGGTGGGGCTGGAGATGTAATGCAATTGGAAGGCCCTGGGTTCAGTCCCATTACAGCAATAGCTAATCAAGATTAAAATAGCTCACTTTACATTTCTAATAAAGCAGTTGGATGATGGTTTAAAAAAAAAAGCAGCACTTGTTAAAGTTTACTGAATTACATAAATGTTTTGCTGAATTCTGTTTAACTGATCTGTTAACAGGCCAAAAGGATTCTTGAAGGAGATCACAGCTCACCTGCTAGAGAGATTGATGATGAAGACAAAGTATGTGTTGATTAATTTGTGCCTATAAATAATGCTTTTGGGACAAAATATGAAATAAGTTTAACAGCTTTTACTTTAGTATTTAAGACCAGAGTATATAATCAAATACCCTTTGTTCTGAAAAATGATTTTCTTTTAAAAACAAAACTTATCAGAGATTTAGTTCATTTACTCCGTGCCTACCCAGCAAGTGCAAGGTCCTGAGTTTGATTCCTGGTACCAAAAATAAATAAACTAGCTGGGCATGATGGCACATGCCTATAATCCAAGTGCTCTGGGAAGATGAGGCAGAAAGATCACAAGTTTGAGCCCTGCGTGGACAGTTTAGCAATTTAGTGAGACCCTGTCTCAAAATGAAAAATTAGAAGAAAGAATGTAGATCAGTGCAAAGGTCCTGGGTTCAGTTGTCAGTACCAAAAATATTTTTAAGGGCCAGGAATATGGCTCATTGGTTCTGCTGCCTGCCTTGCAAGTGCAAGGGCCCAAGTTCGATCTCTGGTACCAAAAAAAAGGGAGCCAAAAAATATTTTTAAAAACTAGACTGCCAGGATCCGGGGATTTAGGTCAGTGGTGCTGCTGCCTGCCTTGAAAGCACAAGGTCCTGAATTCAATCCCCAGTACCAAAAAAAGACTAGACTGCCAAAAATAATTCTTTGTATTTTTCTTACAAAAAGATCATTACTTTTATGAAAGGATTTATTGTATATCATTTTAAAGTACTTTAAGCAACTAGTTACTCCGATTATCTGCTACCAGGATAAAGATGAAACTGAAACAGTTAAGCAGACTCAGACATCTGAGATACGTGGTGCTGAAGGTCCCAAAAGTGTAAGATCTGATGTTTCTGATCAAGAGGAAGATGAAGAAAGTGATGGATGCCCAGTGTCAATTAGTAAGTTTAAGGCTCTATGCCATATTCATTATACCTTAGTTCTTTATAGGCCCCTTATTAAAAACAGTTCAGAAGGATATGAATATAGAATTGAGTGTCAAACTCTGAATTTGAGTTCCAGTATCATTCTGACTAACTTATCTGGCCTGTGCCCCTGATTAAATTACGTAGCCTTTTTGCCCCACAATTTCTAATACTGTATTTACTGATTTGAAGATTTTAGACATGAGAAGTAAAGCACCCGTTATATGATATGCAGTAAATGGTAGCCATTCATTATAAAGCGTAAATGATATGGGCACAATGGTACATGCTTATAGTTCCAGCTGTTCCGGAGGCTGAGGGCGGGAGGTTTGCTTGCTTGCGTTCAGGACTTTGAGAGCAGCCTGGGCAACAGAGGGACCTTGCCTCACAAACAGGTTGAAATTTACTAAAAATTGTGTATCAATCAACTCAGATTTGTCTAAAGCAGAAACTCAGGCTTTAACTAATTATGGAAGTGGAGAAGATGAGAATGAGGATGAAGAAATAGAAGAATTCGAAGAGAGCCCTGCAGATGTCCAGACTTCACTTCAAGCTAACACTGAACCTGTAGAAGAAAATGAACATGATCAGGTATTCCAGTGCAGGGCAGCACACCCCACCAGTCTCATTTCAGCCGCTAAAAGCGAGAGCCTTCTGAAAGATGCCAAAATTTACAGCTTTTCACATTCTCGTTTTTGTCGCGAGCCGCGATGTCGGGGTCCTGCCAGCAGGCCCCAAACCTGAGAGGATTCACCGAGAGTAAACACACTGAGTCATGCTCAGGTTCAAACAGGGTTCTTCTTTATTCTTCTTTTACTTCTACTTCTACTACTACTTCTACTTCTACTTCTTTCTGCCAGATGGCTCTCACACTTATATCAGGCAATAGTATGAAAGTAAAAACAACTTCAAGGATGAAAAACAATCTCAAGGATAACTGTACAAGGCCACAATTATGGCTCCACAGAGTACACATGATTTACAAGAAGCAGGTGTTTTTTCTGGAAAGCGAAACTCAGCTCTACAAAATGGTTATTGTAAATAATGCCATAAGATGGCAGCCGATCACGGCCAATCAGAACTTACAACATAGCAACTCCTTCGCTCAGGGAACTGCAATGCAAGCAGCCAGCTGTCTTGCAGGCAGTCTCCCACAGTTTTCATGAATACACACATGTTTAATATATTAGTGAGAATCTGGAAAGAATTAAGATATATCGTGTACATGTAGTAACTCCCCACGATGAATGTAATCATGTACTGTAACTATAATCCAGTACAAACAAAAATAGAATGAAAATACTAAAACACTGATTTTTTAAATATTTAGTATTGTTTAACTTGAAAATACTTCATCTTCTATTTTATTTTATTTTAACCAGTAAAACTGTAAGATCTTTTCAAAGACATGGGTTTTTAGTCTTTATATTTTTCCCTCATTAATGAAAATAATATGTAACATAAAATCACTTCCATTTCTACCTCCATTTCATTGCATTCCAGAGGCGACCCTTTGTGCAGTTTCTCTTGCTGTGTACCCCTCCATATTTCTGAATAGTGTGTGTCTTTCGGTTAAATCTATATTTATTCAAATATTTAGATTTAACCAAACTAACTATTACTGACTGCTGAGCCAAGTATATATTGTTTATTATTTAGCCTTATACATCTTTCTCCTGAATTTAATAGTTCTTAATTTTTGTATTTTCTTTGAACATATACCCAACTTGGCTGTATCCTCCAGTAGCTGTGTAAACCTCTCAGCAGAATTTTCTCCATGAACTAACTGTCCTCCCCCTTCCTTGGAGCATGTGCCTTCTTGCTCCATTTCAGATTTGGCTATTCTTTACTCTTGCCAGTTAGCTTCCAATAGAAATCCCATTTTGTCTGTTTATATTTCCTTTTCAAATCTCTCTTTCGGGAATATAATCTTTTGTCTTTTGGTTTACTACTTCATTTTGAGGAACCATCCTTTCCTATAACTTTCTGAGAAAAAATGTGTAGATAATTTGGTTGGGTTTGATGGTACTGTGATTGGACCTACTGTGAGACAGGATCTCCCTAAATTGCCCAAGCTGGAATGAAACTTGCAGTTCTTCTGCCTCAGCCTCCTAGAATGCAGGGGTTACAGTCATGCCCCACTCTGCCTAGGTGAAAATTTATTTTCTGACATTATATATTTAAGAAAATCTTGATTCTTCTGTAATGAAAATATTTCCCTTCAGATCTTTGAAAGCACTGCTTCCTGATCTAGTTTCCAGTGTTGCTGTAGAAATCTGCCATGCCTTTCTTAGTTCTTATCCTTTGCGTCTTTTTTTCCCTTCCCTATTCCAAAACCTTTTCCCCTTGGAGTTCTGAAATTTTAAAATAATGTGCATTGTTACAAGTTTCTTTATTTAAACTGCCATTTAAAAATTTCTAAACACCTTTTTCCTTTTTCTGATTGCTTTCTTGTACTGCCATATTCTGTAATGTAAGCAATAGCATGTCTTATCCACATGGAGGCTTTCTTCCAATATCTGCTGAACCTTGGGTATTTATATTAAAGTGATATATCAGACAGCTGAGGGCCAGGGATTTAGCTCAGTGGTTCTGCCACCTGCCTTGCTAGCTCAAGGTCCCAAGTTCAATCCCTGGTACCAAAACAGAAGAAGAAGAAAGCTGATTTGAGCTCTCTTGAGTTCTGTAGGGTATTTGGCTAAAAACAGGTATTCTGGAGTGAAATATGGGAATGTACCATTGTACAGACCTTCCCTAAATGCTACTGATTTCACTGTGATGGTTTACCCCGTTCTGATTTGTGCCTTATTTATTCCACCCTTTCCCCCAAGTGAGACATTACCTGGTTTAGTTTCTATAATATCCCATTTTCTGTTGAGGTTGGGCATGAGAACCTAGATGTCCACATTTTTCTTAAAAACAGTTTTAAATAATTACCATCACCACCCCCTTTTCATCATGAACCCCTTCTCCGCCATCATGCTTCTTCCTTCTTAGAATCTGTTACTTCTAATCGTGAACTGAATCTCAGTTTTTGTAGAGAAAACCCTGCCCAAGATATGTGGCATTGTTTCTTCCTCTCCCAGACATTTCCCTTCCCCACTCACTTAATCTCGACTTTATAGGTGTCTTTTAGTTTTATTTAAGATAGTCGGAGAAAGATAACTTTTTAGATGTGGAATCTTTGATATCCCAGTTCTCTGAGTTGTTTTAAGTTTGTCCAAGAAGAAAAGGAAACCATTTTACATAGCTATCTTGTAAATCCTACCAAAGCCTCCTTGAAACTCTTTTAGAAGATACTTTACATTTTCTTTTTGAAGCTCTCAGGCTAGATATAAACCACACAGTAGTAACCTACTCTTTTATAATAATCACATATTTTAAGGCCTTACTGTTAAAACATCTTTTTCTTTCTAGATTCTACAACATGAACTTGAAAAAACAGCAGAAAGCAAAAAGATCCCTTCAGAACCAGAACACACTAGTAAAGGTAAGAAAATCTAAATAACTGTTTACTTTAAAGATTATCTGAAGTATCCTTTGTGTGTATCAAGCTTAAAAAAGAAAAAAAAGTAAATTCCTAGCTAATGTAATTTTGAAGGAACTTTGGACTTGATGCGTATCTTTCTTCTCCCAGTAAATCTTTTGTAGAAAACATGAGGGCTTTGTTTCTGCAAACAGCAATTTTAAAAGTTGACAAATATTTCCCCATACTGAAAAATTCTACAAAGAGCATGTTTAGATAATAAACAAGGGGGATTTTTTAAATTCCAGGGCCTTACTCCTGAAAATCCTGATTAGAAATCAGGTAAGTTTCAAGAATCTAATTTTTTAAATGTTCCAGAAGGATTAATGAACTAAATTTGACTAAGAAAAATTGGTGATTGCCTTTTCTTTTATGTTTTGATTTTCTGTTGCTGTCATTCATGAGCATTGTCTTTATTTCACTTAATCGAGAGTAAAATTTAACTACTATAATTACACTAATGTTAAGACTTTTTTTTGATGACAGATGACCAAGATAGCTCTCCTGTGAAGCCCAGTTATCTCAATATCTTGGAAAATGAGCAACCTTTAAATAGTGCTGCCCACAAGGACTCGCTTGCTACTGTTGATGCATCTCAGCAGCCTAACCCTTTGCCATTACCTTTAACTGAAATTGCAACCTTAGTGCCTAGACTCAAAGAAGTTAAATCTGCTCAGGAGACTCCTGAAAGCTCATTGGCTGGAAGTCCCGATACAGAATCTCCTGTGTTAGTGAATGACTATGTATGTATCATTTACACTTCCAGATACTTTGCTTTTCATTTCTGTGCATATTTCTTCATTTTCATCATATAAACTAAACCCCACTTTGTGTTTAGGTTTAGAACCTATCAAAACATTTCTCTTTCTTCTAGGTATCTGTGTTTTCAGTTGATTTTTTTCTGAGTAGCTCCAACATGGCTGGTTCCTCTATTCAGCCATATTCAATGATCAGTCACATTTTTTTTTTCTTATTCACACTTGATTTTAAATTTTAAAAGAAGAGTGATAGTGAATTAGGATGACTGTCTCAAAACCTGACGGTCCTTTTTATAGTTTTTTGAGGTTTTTTTTCTTTTGTTTAGTTTTTTTTGGTGTGGGGATAGTACTCAGGACCTTGAGCATGCCACACAGGTTCCGTGCTGCTGAACTACATCCCTGACCCAACCTTTTTATAGTTTTGAGAACCAGAGATAAGTTATACGTGCACCTTTCAGATAGTTGAAGTTCAGATCTGAGGAGGTAATGTTACATGAGTCATCATTAATCTCTTACACTGCTCAGGTTTGACATCTCAGCTGCTTGAGACATATGTTTGGTAAGCCTAAACATTAATATTTGGGATGCAAAATAAGTTTGACAGCAGTAAAGTCCTTACCTCTAAACAGTGGTTACTCAGCCTACTTAAACGTTTCAAACCATCAAGGTAAAGGAGGAGGGTGAGTGTCTATGGGTTTGTTTTGCACAGATTTAGGAATCTAGATGGATAATTTTGTATTAGGAACCCTGCATTTATGATAATAATTAGGTAAGTTTAGTTTTATTGTAGACCTTTGTTTCAGTTCAGTTTATACCAAGCAGGTTAATTTTGTTGTTCCTTGGATTATGTATATTTTATACAGTCTCTTATCAGCAAAAATGAAGAGATTACAAGTACTTTTTAGGACTTTTTAGATCTAAGGAATGTACTTCATTTTTTTAAAAAAATAAAATTTATTTTCTTCTTAAAGATATATTTACAATTATGATTTCATACTTCCTTTGAAAAGGATTTTGTTTCAGAAACACTAGAAGATAGTAACTAACTCTCCTAAGCTGTTTTGTTTGCCACACCACCAGAAAACTTAAGCATTTAAAATTTGAGAAATTACCGGATTTATTCTTATTATCATTTCATCAGTGTGTAGAGTTGCCATAGAACACAATCAGTTGAAATTAACTTGAAGTTAGATGATAGAGTTTCTTGAATTTGGATTTTAGCCAGAGATACCTACTGACTGAAAAAAAGTTTTGTGTAAGAAAGTGCAGTGGTCTAAGTCACGGTCTATGAAGTTTAATCTGGTGTCTGTATATGTTGTTAAGGAAGGCATATTAGGAGTATCCTAATATGAGTATAAGCTCAGCGAGAGGAGATAAGAGAGAATGATTCAAGAAAAAGAAAAACCTAGGGTCTGTAACTCTACCCGCTACTTGTAACTGTACCAGTTACCTGGTAGAAAGGTTATAAAGGTCATAGTTTTAAAAATTGGAAATGAGAACTAGGTCAAGAAAAGAATCAAGTTTAAGAAAAACACAGTTTGATGCTACTACAGAATGAATTACCAAATTTATACCTCACGTTTATAATTGAGTCTCCACAGAACTGAAAAGTTTGTAAATGTTTACTTATATTCTGCCAGGTATATAGCTTAGATATATTTTATAAACTTCAAAAAACAAGAATTGTTTTCTAGCCTTTCTTGTGTAAAATTTTTTTAAATGGGAATAAAAACTACTAGCAGTGTGCTCGCAGCTGCAGACCCTTCTTGAGAACTCTAGATTTCTGATTTGTTTATAAAAGTGTGAACACAGAAGAAAATAAAATATGATAGGATTATTCATATATACTTATGTATGAATCTGCTTTATTTCTTGGCATAACTTAAATCCAGAGATAGAGTGCACCTTTAAAATTAAATATGATTCATCTTACAGGAAGCAGAATCTGGTAACATAAGTCAAAAGTCTGATGAAGAAGACTTTGTGAAAGTTGAAGATTTACCACTTAAACTGACAATATACTCAGAGGTGTGTGACTCTTTAAACCTGTTGTTCTGTATAACAGGTACTGCTGTAATGAAAAATGATTTAAGTTTTAAATTTTTATTCCAAAGGCAGATCTTAGGAGGAAAATGGTAGAAGAGGAACAGAAAAACCATTTATCTGATGAAATATGTGAAATGCAGACTGAAGAATTAGCTGGAAATTCTCAGACATTAAAAGAACCTGGTAAGAGTTACCAATTTTATTTTATATTGAAAATTACTGAATCTTGCATAATTCTATAATTTCTGCTTATTTTTCAAATGTTATACTACTTGGGAAATTTAAGGCTAATATTAGAGTCATTCTGGAAGAATTTTAGTTCTGCTGCTTAATTTATTGATTTACTGATATCAGATCATTTCTTCTATTTTTAAAAGCTTTAATTTTATCAGGGTAATATATAATACACATGCACATGGTTTAAGAAAAAAAAGGTACAAAAGAATTAGTGAAGCCAGACATGATGGCACATCCCTATAATCCCAGCACTCTGAGAGTCTGGGGCAGGAGGATGCAAGTTCAGGCTCAGCCTGGGCAACTTAGAGCCTGTCTCTAGATAGAGCAACAGATAGATAGATAGATAGATAGATAGATAGATAGATCGATCTGTCTTTCCGTCCATCCATCAGGGGATAAAAGCTCAATGCAAATGCTCTGGATGTAGTCTTCACTACTACTAAAAGAAAAGTTAATAATCAACAAAAACCTACTTATTTTCATTATTGGTTTTTAGTTCTTTTGGAGAAAACTATAATTCTGATATTTTGTGATTTTTTTGTAAATATTTGAGACTCAATATTTCCCATCCTCCTTCAATGTGAATTTAGACCTCTCTCTCTCTCTCTCTCTCTCTCTCTCTCTCTCCCTCTCCCTTTCTCTCTCTCTCTCATGTTCATATCACTTGGGTTTTTCTGCTTTTTATCTGTTACTTTAAAAAAACAAATTGTGTGTGTGTGCGTGCGCGCATACATACACACAAACTCTTTCCCATCTTTAGTTACCCTTCCTCTTACTTTCCTTTTTGTAACTATAATAAATTTTATACCCTTTTTTTTGAGACAGGGTCTCACTAGTTGAGACTGAGACTGAGCTGGAACTCACTATGTAGCCCAGGCTGCTCTCGAACTCACAGCAATCCTCCTGCCTCAGCCTCCTGAGTGCTGGGATTACAGGCATGCACCACCACGCATGGCTTATACACTTTTCTTGAAGTTGATACCAGATAAATATCATTCACCATAGAGCCAAGAGATAGTCCTAGATTTCCTTCTCTGGGTAGAACAGCACAACACTCTGGAGCTACTCAGAGAATGTTTTTCTTTTTGGTACTGGGGATTGAACTCAGAGCCTTGCATCAGAATGTTTCTTGCATCAAGATCAAAGGACTTTCTTTTTTTTTTTTCCCCAGTCATAACAGTCACACGTATGGCTTTTATTTCTCTTTCTTTTTCCCCCCTTATTTTTTCTGATAATGGGGTGAAGAGAAGGGCGTACCATTCAGATATCAAACCTTCAGTTAAGGGCCCAGTTTTCAGCTCAGTTCTGTATGTTTCAGAACATTGCATATGTCTCAACTGCAGTCTGTCCGAACGTTCTAGGCGGCTCTCTGTTTTATGCTATGCCCCATCTGTTTTGGACTTGGTGGTTATTTTTTGTTCATATCTTCTGTTCTCAGAACTGTTCTTTGTTGGTCTGTTGATCTATACTTAATTCTTTTAGTAGTTCTTTTTTGTTTGTTTGTTTGTTTGTTTTTTTGAGACAGGGTCTCACTATCTAGTTCAGACTGCCCTGTAACTCACTGTGTAGCCCAGGTTGGTCTCGAATTCACAGCGATCCTCCTCCCTCAGCCTCCTGAGTGCTGGGATTACAGGCATGGGCAATCATGCCCAACTTTTTTTTTTTTTTTTTTTTTATTTTTTTTTTTTTTTTTTTTTTTTTAATGTTTTGTTTTTTGAGACAGGAAGTGGCTGCTCAGTCTGCTGTGATGAAAAAGAAATACTCTCCTGTTCTTTTTTCGAGTGTACCAGGAAACTTGAGCTAAATTAAGATTGCCCTTTAATAACTCTTTTATTACAATTAAAGGCTTTAATGGATGAAAACAATATTTTTGTTTTTTGGTACCGGGGATTGAACTCAGGACCTCACACTTGCCAGGCAGGCACTGTGCCACTGAGCTAAATGCCTGACCAGAGAACAATGTTAGAGGTAAATTTTTGTAAGTAGTCTTAATTCAGTAAGGAATTTATAAGACATTAATATTCTGTTTTTCAGAAACAGTGGGAGCTCAGAGTCTATGAGATGTCTTCAGAGGTTCATCTGATTCTCTTTACATAGTGCATACATGAAAATGATACTAAATAAACATGTTTTGATCTGTATAAAAATATCAATTAGTTTGACACTGCATTTTTGATAGATGTGCTGATTTCTGCTCATGGCAGGTTAGACATCAGAAACTGAATTCTGGACAGATTCAAGCTTTGATATACTGTGGAGTTATTTTTTTCTTCTGTGTTTGAGTTTCTTTTTTTCTCATTGTGATGTTTGGTAACGTTAAATTTAAAATGTAGACTTAAATAAAGTTTGAACTTATCGGTATCTTTCTTTGGAAATGATGTTGAATTCAATACAGCAACTTACTGTTCTGTGTAATTTTAGGCAACTCAATGAGAGCAGTGATAAGGAATTAAATATATTATTATAGAGCCCAGCCATTAGCCCATCTTCCAAATAATACCGTTGTCACTGCTGATAATCCCAGTGTTCTTTTAGCTAACTGCAGGCCCTATTCCTGTGTAAGAATAGGGCAGGACTGGGAATGTAGCTCAGTGGTTGTACACTTGCTGAGTTTGCACAAGGCTTTGGGTTGGATCTCTAGACTCGCCCCACTACCCCTAAAAAAATGCGTATGATAAAGACAACCAAGGTACCTGTGAAGTTATCATAGAATATTTATTAGTAATCTATTTAAAATGCATAAGAAGTGTAAAACATGTCTTGAGTACCTAGTTATCTATTTACATAGTTATCTGTTAGTGAACGTTTTTTAGATTTGCAAATCCTATATTCACTCAGTTTAAAAATTAAAAAACATATAATCAGGGAATATTTCTGCACAAACAAGTATAATTTTGCTTCATTTTAAATGAAAGACCAAACTCTTTCAAGTAGGGATAAATAGATTATGTAACAGAACATTAAGATTCTGTATGCCTTTGGACAGCTTGCCTGTTAAAGTGATAGTTTAAAACCAAAGCCTAACCTTTGATTTTGTGTATAGTAAGAGAGAAGCAAGTTCACAGAAGTACTGAAGTACCGAATAAAGAAAATCTATGTGACTTCACACTAAGTAAACCAACTTTTAAAAGGTGATTTTACTGCTTTATCCCAATCGTACCATAGACTCGGGGCTTCGAAAGCCAGTTAACAATGAGTAAGGTCAGTTTTACAGATGCTTCCTTGAATAAAATGTGAAGAATGTGAAAAATGAGATCTTAGTTCCCAAGTATGTTTTAAATTTGAAGGCACTTGGCTCAGCTATCCCATATGAAAAACCTTGTTTGATAGTCTTAAAATTCTTACTTGTGTGATACTTTATATAGCATAAACTATAATGTTGAATCAGAAAATATTAAATGAGGATTTCCCCTATGAGGAAAATTTTTGTATTGCTACTTAGTTTAAATTATGGAAGACATACGTCTCCAACCTTAACGAAACCCATTCAGAAAAGAACTAGTCCAGAATGAGGAATTCTTGCCCAGATGGACTGACTTCAGGGAATTGGGAACATTAAATTATATTGTATGTCTACTCAAGCTCTACATCTTCTAAATTCTGAAGTAGGAAGTGGGGAAAACTTCATTTGATACTTAAGCCAAGCCTTACATTTGCAGGTGTCTTTCTGTGCATGCGTATTAGGGATACTATTGAAGAATTGTGTTTCAGATGTTCGTTATTACCGCGGCACTAAAAACTCATAAACTAGCTTATTTTACTTAGGTTACAGCTGCTGTCTAGTTATTACCACGATACCTAAAAACCTTACTAAGCTTACCTGACTTATAACTGCTGTCTAGTCTATTGTCCTATTTTAGCGATACTTTAATTTTAAAATATCTAGGGCTTGAGAGCAGGTTACTTGATCAGTGTTTTTCCTAGTAACTTTTTAAAGAGGTAAGCATTAAATATTCCTGTTTGTCTTAATTTGTAAGGTAAAAATTTGATTAGAGATAGAGGGAGAAAATGTCAAAATAGATGTGAGAAAACCAAAGTGAAACCTGTGCAGGTTGGGATAATACCTAAAATAATGAGTTAACCGGACTGGTGATAACCCTTTGTATTTTGTAACATTCAGTTTGGGTAAATACTTTTTCACTGTTAATAAATGTATATCCTACATACAACCCTGAATTGCATTTTCGTTTACATTGATATGCTTTTGACTTTATTTTAGAATTGTGGTTTGACACTCTTAATCATAAGGAAAAAAAATCTGGACATGAAAAATAATGACATTTATACTAGCCAGAAGGATTTATTCAACGTATGACCATTTCTCTTACAGTGAATACATGCTTCATTTTTTGTTTTGCATTTATTTTATACACTGTTTTAAGAATGTAGATGTTGGATGTGGTGTGAGTAATGTCAGTGTGGCCACAGGAAGAGATTAAAAGGAGCCTTGGGAGAAGGAGGTTTATTGTGTTCCCACGTACTAGCAAGCATGCCTGCACTTGCCACATTAGGGTTATAGGAAAAAGCACTACATTTCATCCAGAGGCAGAAAACATGAGCCTGATCAGAGTCTTTATTGACGTTTCCTAGGGAAAAGCAGGGCAGAGTGAATAGTTTAGCACTGGCTATTTCAAATAATTCTAGAGAAGCTGGACTGTAACTATGGTCTCCACTCCCTAGTATCTGGCCTGGGGTAATATAAAACAATGAAAGTACTGGTTTTTAGAGGAGTTGATCAAGGGGATAGGTGGGGCTGTAGACAATGGATTGGTTGGTTTGCATATGAAAGACTTGCTTCTGGCCTGACCCTTAGCTCTCTAAGAAAGAGCTGGGTGTAGGGTGGGGTGATCTTACCTTGCTTAGCAAGCTTTTTAAGATATCAAGAAATAAAATACAGAAAATAGCATGATTAATATGTATACAAGACTCTCATTTTTAATCCAAATAGTCTGATTTGTTCCTTTCCAGCTTGCTTTAATACATAAAGAGTTTCAACTGTCAAAGCAGTATTGGCTCTGGATTTTACTTACTTCACTGTACACACAAGATTGCCCAGTCACCTTGACCGCAGGAGCCAGCATTTCCAGTTGTGGTGGTTGTGCAATTCTGATTGTTGCTTTAAAATTCTCTGTCTTCACAACATGTCTGTCAGCTGCTTCCAATTTCATTCCAGGTAAAAACAAAAACGTCTTTCTAAGTCCTATACCAAAGTGATTTTCTACCTCTCCCTCATTTTTCATTTTCCCCTTTATTCACTGTGTGATCTCCCATCACATTTATCTCTTTGCTGTTCATACATTCATGACTCCTTCTCCCTATAAAACCTCACATTTATTGTTCCCTCTGCCTACTGTTCTTTGTCTGATACTCATATTTTTTCAGATATTTTTATGATATATGAGTATCTTCTTTATTTCATGCAATCACAAATTTCATGGACTGTGGATGTAGCCCAGTGGTAGAGTGCTTGGTTAGTATGGATTTGATTCAAAGTAAACTGCTCCCCACAATTTATTTTTCTCCTCTTCCTTTTTTTTTTTTAATCCTGCTAGCTAGCTTATCTGCAGTTAACACCATATATTTGTCTTACTTTATTTGCTCTTTTTTCCTGTTGCTGGTCTTCTGTTCAACCTTATCAAAAATTTAAAGATAGGGCCGGGGATTTAGCTCAGCGGTTCAGTGGCCTGCCTTGGCAAGCGCAAGGACCGGAGTTCAATCCCTGGTACCAAAAAAAAAAAAAGTTTAAAGATAAATATACACTAAAAGTAAATTAACTATTACTATTGGTATTTTCCTATGGTTAAAGACTTTGATAAAGACAGAAGGAAGAAGCTAAAAGAAAAACAAAAATAGTACTCATTCATTCTGTCAGTCATGTAGAAGGAAAACCAAGAAGTGTGCAGATTCTGGAAAGCCAGTGTAGAAAGTATTTCAGAGATGGGCCAGGGATTTAACTCAGTGGGGCTATGCCTGCCTCTCAAGGGCAAGGTCCTGAGTTCCATCCCCAGTACTAGGGGGGGAAAAAGTACTTCACAGAAAAAGATCAAATGCACTAATTAGACAATTAAGAGCTGAGAGGTGACGAATGGATTTAGTAGTACAGTAGTCACTAGTAATCTTGACAAGTATAGTTAGTTGTGCTGTAGTAGTAAGGTTAGAATGTGACTGGATTAGTTTTAAGAGAGAATTGAGCTGGATGTTGTTGCATATTCCTGTAATCCCAGCTACTCAGGAGGCTGAGGCAGGAAGATGGCAAGTTCGGAATCAAAAACACAAACACGGAAGAGTGGAGATATAGCTCAGTGGTAGAGTACCCCTGGATTCAACCCTTAGTACTGCCAAAAAGAAAAAAAAAGTTGGAACTGATAATTCAAAGTGTATGAAGGAATGTTTTCTGATTTGTTGTAGCATACAGATAAAGCCTATCAAAGGCTCAAGAATATGCAAAAGGAAAAATGATAGGTTGGTTTTACACATTAGTAAAATGAATTTGATAATTATAAAAAGATGATATTTGGATTAGATTTGTCCTATTTATCTCAGTAGGATATTAGGATAATCTATTAATGAGATGAGATTCATAACTTTTTTTTTTTTTTTTTGAGACAGGATCTCACTGTGTAGTTCTGGCCTTGAACCTAATGTGTGGCTCGGGTAGAGCGCAACTCTGGCCTCAAACTCCCAGTAGTTCTGCCTCAGCCTCCTGAGCACTGGATTACAGGTGTGCATCACTACATCTGGTGAGAACAGGTTGAAAGTTCAAACTTAAAAAAAACAAAAAAAGGGACTAGACAGGAACTCTAATTTGATAAATGATTTCTTTGAAAACATGATACCAGACTTACTAGTGGTGAAACATTAGGCACATTCTCTTTTAAAGTCAAAAAGAGAAAATTAATGTTCATAATTATAGCTTCTGTTCCACAGTGTATAATATCAATATTGTAAAACAAGAAAATAAATTCTGTAAGAAATGGAAAGGAAAATTTATGAATTACCTAATCAAATCCTTCGGCAAATCATCTAAATTTTGAAAATGTTCAGCAAAATTGCTTCTTCTTGAGACAGGGTCACTCATTAGTCAGCTCAGAGACTCTGGCCTCAAACTGTCCGCAGTCCTCCTCCTCCAGCCTCCCTAAGCGTTGGAGTTACAGGTGTGTACCACCATGCCTGGCTCAAAATTGGTTTAGTAAGTTGATTTTTAAAGCATTTTGTACATCAGCAGATAATCAAAATTAGTTTCCAAGAAGTATTTAAAATTGTTTTGATCTTACAAAAATGTAGTGAACTAAATTTCACTAAAAAGCAAATAATTAGCTTTCTCGAAAATCAGTAAAGAGCTTAGTAAATGGATAGTCAGT